ATTTTAGTGGCTAATTTAAGTCTTTGGTCCATTTCTATGAAATACTGTCCTTACTATTAACATTTTTAATTAATAAATGGCTCTTTGCATAACCTATCATCCTTTGAGAGATCCAGGGTAGTTCTGACAGCTGATAACGAAAGGTAAACTGACTAAAGTTTTCTTGCAGTTACTGAAAGCTTGATTTTCCATCGCAAATGTTGCAGAGGAGTATTTAAGCTGAAGTACTCTTTTGTTCACAGCAATACAATTGTGCTATTTAATGTTTCTATTTTATCATATGTTTTGCAAAATGCTATTATTTCTTTTTAGAGTAGGACTTGAAATTAGGGACTGAAGTCACTTACAAGAATTCTTAGAGATTGTACTGGCTAATGTTTCATAGCTGCAAGTCTTTAAAGATAACATAAACAACAAAGAGAGTATTCAGGATGCAAGGAAGGAACACTGCAAAATTAATTTTAAAAGGTTGCATAGGAAATTTACTATCAAAATTTATCTTGTTTCCACAGAATTTTGTTTCGATATCTTGCTAATCTCCCTTACCATTTTTATAGTTTTGTGTAGCTTTTAAAATTTGTGTTGAATTCTGCATGAGGTGTTCATCTTCGTAATAAGACCATTAGTAACAGTGATACTGTGATGATGTGGACACCAAGTCATACAAATAGGAAATCGTAATGCAAACCAAAATTGTGAGATGAATTTTTTGAGACAGAAGCATATTTACAAAGCTCCTCCCTTAGTTCTTTGTTTTTCTCTATAGATGTAGTGCCTGTATGAGCATGGGGTTTCTACAAAACCTGTATTTCTTACTTTATTATCGCAGCAGCAGGATGTTGCAGCTACTGCATTAGATTATAAGGGCAGATATAAAAGATCTCTTGAAGTTTGCTTAGCAGTTTATCAAAGTTCACCAAAGCATGTCAATGATCTGTGTGCCTTCACTGGGGGAGGGGAACAAAGAGGAAAAATAGAAATTGCACTTGTTTTATTTCTTGCAGGATCTAATTGTCTATATAACTTAATTTTGCAGTTTGCTCGTATTTTCTTGCAAGCTGGTATGTCACAGTCCTGGAGTCAATATAGCTCCAACAGACCTTGCTGAAGAGGGGTTTTTTTGATTACTTGTTAAGTTAGTTTCCTTTGTACTTTCCAGGATGACATACACAGCTTGAAGTGCTCATAATCTAAGGGATACCTTATAGCAAGCATTTTGCAGAGATTTTAGTTAGTTACACTGGTACTACAAGTGCAGGGACAAGAAGTTAAGAGCAGAAAAACAAGAAGTGACTTCCATGCCACTCCCTTTTATACAACACAGGCAGGAAGAATCTGTGAATAAAGATTTTCATGAAGTAAAGAGTATGGTAAAAAAAGAAGAGAGCCAAGAACAAGTCTGAGGATCTTATCAAAGACTGGAAGAGGGGAAGAAAGTATTCACTGAAGTGGGAGATATTAATTGACTTGAGAGGGTAATGAGCCAACTTGTTGTCTTGTCCTCTTTACAGAAACAGATGTGGTAGAGTCTCCATCCTTGGAGATATTAAAAAGCTGTCTGGACGTGGTCCTGGGCGACTGTCTCTAGGTGGCCCAGCTTGAGCAGCAGGGTTGGACTAGATGGCTGCCAGAGGCCCCTTCCAACCTCAACCATTCTGGTGTTCTCTTAGTTGAGGACAGGGGGAGGGGGGGAGGCTGTTTTTCACAATTAATTCCGCTTAAATATTGCACCCAACAGCAGAACTTTTACCCGTTTGACTGTGACCCATCAAAACTTCTTAGTAAGGTCCCCCAGGTACTGTCTAAGCCGCTATACCATCCTTTTTGGAACAACTATTCCAGCACGTGAGTTGATTTTTGGAAGGGGAGAAAGAAAAGGAGAAGAGGACATGAGTGGAGTCTCAAAATAGTAACATTTCTGGAAACACGATGCCTGTAAGTGAAGCCTCTAGGGCATTTGGTGATGGTTTGCAGGGAGTTCTTGCTTCAGAGGTGAAGGCCATGGAAGTACGTTAGCAGTTGGTGAAAAAGCTTTCCCAATGCTTAGCCTGCTTCCATTTAGGAACTTTGGGTGTTTTAAAAATATTGACTACTTTCTCAGTATGAGCTTGCTATGTAAGCAATGCTTGTGGCAACCACTTCTTTGTTGAGTGAACATGGGCTCGGGAGTGGGAACAGGTAGAAGCACTAGGAGTTCGTTGTCCTGTTGCCCTGTTGTTTCTGCTTTTGCACTCTGTCTTAGGTTGCTCTTCTAAATCCAGCATTGCATAAGCATTAATTTTTTGTATTTTGGGATTAGCTGCTTTCAAATACAAAATTATTTAATCACTGAATTGTATTTCAGATCGAGAAAGCTGTATATAGAATTACTTCAGCCATTCAATAGCAGCTTCGTAACAGTGGGGTTTTTTTGTTGGATTCTGGCCTTTATAAAGTCGTGTCAAGAACCCTCCTGTATCCGTAGCAGCGCTGTGGACATCTTATTGTGTCTGGGTATTATGGAGGTTATCACAAAAAAACATTAAGAAATCTATTGCCTGGGATTTCTGCAATAGCTTTAGTTCTTATATTTTTAGTTTGCTAGGGAGAGAAGGTGGAATAGCAGTGTATAAGATCAGAATTAGACACAGATTATCTGTCTAATATGGTTCTCGTTAGCACAAATAATATGAATACCGTTTGGAGAACAAACGGATTATAGAAAAAGAAATGAAAACATCCAGATCCCAAGCATTTGGAAAGCATGACACTGATGTATTTGTGTAACCTTTTCATGAAGAGCGATGCTGAAGTCAAAGAGGGGATTTTGATTTCCTTCATTAAAAGCTTATTAAATGAAGGAATAGGACAGTCGTTGTTTTGCTTCAGTAGTTGGGGGTCACAGAGGCGGCCCTGATCTCCTCAGGATATTAATGCCTGCTTTCAGCTGGGGGAAATGAGCCATGGCTTGAGTTAGCTGCAGCTTTATGTGCTCGTCACTAGGGATCCCCATATGTCCTGGGATCTGCGGCAGTCGGAGATGGCAGAGCTCGGCAGCAGGGAGCAGAGGGCTCTCATTGCTATTCATAACAGGTAGCTCGGCTCAATCTGCCCAGAGCAAGTCTGTTTAATGTTGATCAGCTGTCCATCTGATAAACCGAATTGATACGGACATTTCCTCCAAGGGCTGCCCTGACAATGACAGCAGGAGCATCGGGATGTCTTGTTAGTCTTTTTCTCCGAGCTTGAAATTTTATTAACCCTTTGTTAGAGCCAAGCCAAGCGTGCTTACGATACTGCGGCTGTAGGTTGTGTGAGTTTCTCCCTTGCCTCTTTGAAAAGCAGCATGAACCTTCAATTTTGTTGTCTACATGGAGAATGGCTAGCTGTTTTGTTTTCAGGTTGTTTTTCTCTGCATGGAGCAAAAAATGTGATTTGTAAAGGCAGCTTTTCAAACAGCTTAGGTTTCTTGTGTGTGACAAATACGTTTGGGAGCCTCTGTTTATCCTCCCTCCCCAGCTCATCTACCTTTTGCCTGCCTGCCCAGGCTGTGTGACTCCACTAGCACTTTCTCTCTTGCTAATTGGCATGCATCACTGGCCTGAAACAGTTGCTGTCAGGGCTCTCCGCAGGTCAGACATATCTGGGGCAGAAGGTTGCTTTAGATTTAATATTTTTCAGGGCAGTTGCAACACATCTGCACTATACAGAGGAAACAGTATTCATTTACTCAGTACCATGTCGGTACTGAGGCAGAATCTAACCTGAGCATGTATCAGCAGGTGTACATCTGTGTGAAGGTATGGAGCAGTTTGGTTACTCAGTGAATCTTGAGTAAGCACAGGGAGCATAATACGCCTTTGTACTAAGTTGCAATTTAATTTGAACTTCAAGGCCTTTTAATCATCTGTCTAGCTGAGGGCATGCATTGCGTGTTAGCTCATATGTGAAGTCTCCATGACGTAAAGGGAACTGCTTGAGACAGAAACGATGTGAATGTGCTGAAGATTTCACAAGGGGGGAACCTGTGTGTATCTAGATTCGCAGTGTTAAGAGGATGCTGCAGTGCATTGCTCTGTTCCCCCTTTCCCTTGTCCCTGCTCAGTTGTTAAGTCTGTCCAGGGCCCTGTTGTGGTGACTCCTCTGTTCTCCTTGGAGTGATAGTCACTAACTATTGGGGGCTACAGGGTTGAATTGCAGGAGGAGGGGAAGGGAGGCCTGGGCTAATGACTCTTTTCATGCCTTTTCCAAAAAATGAAAATATTTGGAGGGCAAGCCACCATGGGATAACCTCTGTGGCAAGCCTCTCATGCGGATTTGAAACCCCTAAATTCAGAATGCAGTATACTATGTCTTGAAATAAGAAGTTGATTTGTAAACCCATCCAAATAAAATTGAGTCTGCTCCTTTGCTGGACAATCACCTTTGCTTCTTCTGACTAAAACAACCAGTGAAATATCATTAGTACACAGTTTTAAAATGTTCAGCTGTTTCTCCTCTTCCCCCTGCGCTCTCTCCCCTTGGTATTATTGAACTGCAAGGTGTCCTGTTATTAATTTAACTCTAATTTGAGCAGTCATTGACTGCAGCATTCTTACGGTGTTCGGATTGGCTTGCTCGTGACTCCCCTGCTGATACGTCCTTTGTTCCTTCCCATCAGTACTTTCTGCTTGGCATTTTCTTCATGTCAGTGTCCCTCAAGCTTCTAAAAGACAAAACAGAAAAAGAAAGCACCATGAGGACTGTATTGATTACTTAGCTCTATTTTGCGAAAGAATTCAAACAAAGGGCAACATTCTTCCAAATGGAACCTGTGGTACCCGCGGCTTACCTGAAATACTTAGTGACAGTTTTCTGTGCTTAACAACTCCTAGTTGTTGCTTCTAGAAGTACATAGAGAAGAGCTACACCATAATTCATAAAATATCTGTTTAGCACATGTGGCTGTTTTTTTTCCCCCCTATGAATCTATATTTTATTCATAGCATCAAGAATAATTGTACTTTTTTTTTCACTTTCAGTCAAAGAAGTCTGGCTGAGATTACAGAACTAATCCACACGGCTTTTCTGGTGCATCGTGGCATAGTGAATATTGGTGAGCTCAAGTCCTGCGATGGCCCACTGAAGGATATGCAGTTTGGAAATAAAATGGCTGTTTTGAGTGGAGATTTTCTTCTAGCAAACGCTTGCACAAGCCTTGCGCAGTTGCAGAATACCAAGGTAAAAAGAAAAAAAATTCTTCTACTGCCAGAGCGGGTAACTATTAGTGAATCTTCTGAAACAGAGGCCCTTTAAAAAAATTGTCAGTTATGATATGTATGGATATAAGGAGCATCCTTTAAAAATCAGCATACTTACATTATAGCTGTAGATGGATTGTCAGGCAGCTGCTGCTGCTGTTATGAACATATTTAACACTGCCCTATAGAGTTACTGTGGTGAGGCCTTTAGTATACATTCTGAAGCACTGTAGTAATGGATGAGTGGTTAATTTGGTGAATTTAACATATATGCAGTGGCATCCTCGTGACATCTCAGACTACACCACCTCTGGCAGACTGCCAGCTGAAGACATGTTCGGTTTGTTATTTTTGTTTTACCTTATGCTCTGTGAAGGGTTTGTCTGTCTTAGGGAATTCTTGGGGGAAAAGGCTTCATTTCTTCGTCTACACAGTGCACAGGTGACTTTTTATTCTTAATAAAATTACTTTGTTAGGCATCTGGTTGCCCCTGAGTATTGGATCGCCCTATCAACATGGATGTACTGGCTTCTAAAGGGCAACTGCAATCCAGCTGCTCATCCAGACTGAAACTTCACAGGGCAATGTTTTTCATGACAAACAAATTGTATATATGTATGATCTTAGAAAATGAGACTGATGGAGACCCGAAGAGATCATCTCTCCAGTCAGTTCTTCTTTTCCCCAGATAGGATCAGCTACACCAAATCATTCTTGACATGTGTTTGTCTAGCTTGTTCGTAAAACCTCCCGTGGTGGGGGGAGATTCCTGGGCATCCCTGTGCCAGTCTAGTGTAACACCTAGCTACGTGTATGGTGTGCTATTCCAGTGGAAACCGAAAACAATTCCTTTTTACAGGGGTACTATTTATATGTCTGAAGATTGCTGCCATGTTGTAATGTAAAATGAACGTTTGTCATGTGTGCAATTGTCACTAATCAACATAGTTTTAATCCTGAGTTTAAGGAGTCTATTGTTTTTAGATTCTCATGCTAAAGCTCCTCATGATGGTAGAGTATTTCTGTACTGTGCTTTGATCATGAGTGTGACAGTTTCTCTCAAAAGTGGTGTCATTTTGTAACATAGAGCTGAGATTCAGGAGAAGAGACACAAAATTAGATGTCAATCTGCTGGAATAGTGGGTTAAGCCATTATGGTGATGACTGGTATTAAGTATTGAAGAAAAGTTTTAATTAGTGCAAAATTTTAGTCATACCATAACAAAAATGGGGTGCAATTGATTTTACTAATTACTGTTGATTTGTATCCGTTCATTTTTTTTAGTACTTAATAAGATTCTCAAGACAGACTAAAGGCTTTAACCTTACATCAATTTTTGGCTCAACATATGAGGAAACTTTTATGAAATGTAGCACCTATTACTTTGTATTTAGTACATCATTAAGTATTGCAGCAGCAATGTATAATCCCTAAAGATTTGCCAGGAAACAAGCCTACAGTGAAATGAAGCACAAGTGCAGAGAAATACTTTTTTTTTTTTTTTTTTTTTTTTTTCTTAAAGCAATCATTATACTGCATGTCGGAAAATTCTGCCAAAACATTTTAGCACTTTTTTTCATTTTTCTGACATCTAAATACTTTCATAGCTTCTACATACGATAAGTGGGATGCCATTATGGAAACTGATTGACTTAGTAAATTATTCTTTTTCATACGTCTAACCCTACTAGCAAAGTTAGGAAAATTGAAGTACAAGCTATAGAAATCTCTTGACAGGTGCAATGATTTAAACATACTGTATTTATTCTTTTGTAAATGATGAATTTTCAAATCTGGCATCTGTTTTTCAGCAGTGTGAAATAACTGTGACTTTCTTCCTTCATAATGTTTTGTTTTCTTTGATGTAAAAAGTAGAAATCAAAGTACTGCTTTTTTGCTGGCATTTATTTGGTAGCTCAGCAAATTGCCTAATGAAACGAGCAGCATTATATCATACATGGTACTGACCATGGTAGGCTATAACCTCTATAGACATGCATAGCTGTTGTATAGACTAGAACTTAAATTAAAGGGAGTTTTAACATTAACTGAAACCACTGCTACCAAGATAATTTTATTGTGCTGTTAAACTCTTGTCTGAGCTTGTGTATGATGCATTTATCTCTGTGCTTCTCTTGGGGCTGACAATTAGATGTGAAATTCTGTAGTCGTAATGAAATGCAGAGCTATTTTATAATTGCCAAGGGTAAAATTAGCAAAGTCAATTATTTTCCCTTAGGCTTTTCCCTGTAGATATTAAAAGGCTGCAAGGTAATTGCCTGAGGTAACACTTTGATTTTTAAATAACATTAAATATAAGAATTGTTGTTGTTAATTCGTACTAATTTTCCTCTTCTTGCTACTGTTGTAGAATATAACTGTAATGATGTTAACAAGATTCAAGGCTCACGGTTTGTGTTTTGGGGGGTTTCTTTTAAACTAGTGCTCATACTTCTCATATGTTTGTTAAAGTTATGCAAAAGAAGGGATTGGGGGTTTGTTATGTTTTGGGGTTTTTTTAATATCTGAGATACAAGGACTCTAGATTTCTTGAAATGTCAGTTAGGAAGCCTTCTGTAAGATGAGTTCTGCCGTTATACTATTATAGTCATCTAAAATGTTGGGGGTTTGAACACATATAATAATGCAGAAGAAAGCATTCTGATTTTCTACTGTGTGAAACTGAGACATTAATTATGATTAGAAAGTTGGTATTGACTGAGGTTTTAAGAAAAAGTACTGAAGGGCAGATGCAACTGCATGCTACATTTTTGTAATCACGGCAAAGTTCTACATTTATTCACATTTTAAAAAAACTTTAAAATGACCAGTAATTTCTTCAGAAAACTTTTACAGCTACAAAACATTAAATTGATCAGATCTCACATGTATTTACAATTCTTTTGTACATTCATGTTAATTTTCTGATCACCTTATCTAAACTACCCTTTTTTTTTTGTCTACTTTTTATTATGGATGGTGGGTTTTCTTTACCTTCTGGTTGTGGTGATAAATTATGTTGATTGAAGATGATATGGATAAAAGCTCTGAAGCCTGTCCAGGCCCCTCTGGATGCCATCCCTGCCCTCCAGCATGTCGACTGCACCACACAGCTTGCTGTCATCAGCAAACCTGATGAGGGTGCACTCAATCCCACTGTCCATGTCACCAACAAAGATCTTACACACCGCCAGTCCCATCACCAACTCCTGAGGAATGCTGCTTGTCACTGCTCTCCACTTGGACATCGAGCCGCTGACTGCAACTCTCTGAGTGTGACCATCCTGCCAATTCCTTATCCACCGAGTGGTCCATCCATTTCTCTCCAATTTAGAGGCAAGGATGTCATGTGGGACAGTGTCAAATGCTTTGCACAAGGCCAGGTAGATGACATCAGTTGCTCTTCCCTTATCCACCAGAGCTGTAACCCCATCGTAGAAGGCCACCAAATTTGTCAGGCACGATTTTTCCTTAGTGAAGCCCTGTTGGCTGTCACCAATCATATCCTTATTTTCCATGTGCCCTAGCATAGTTTCCAGGAGGATCTGCTCCATGATCTTGCCAGGCCCAGAGGTGAGACTGACTGGCCTGCAGTTCCCTGGGTCTTCCTTTTTTCCCTTTTTAAAAATGGGTGTTATTTTCCCCCCATCTTGCGAATAACTCTGTTTTTCCCACTATAATTGAGTAAGCTCTTGTTGGAAAGATTAAACTGTTCACAGAAGCCCTTCAAAATGTACAGCCTGAAAGCTTGGAATTGAATTTAAGAATCTTGTCTGTCAATGCAGAGCTCTGTCAAGAAGACCACCTTATAGAGCACTGTTTTATTAAGCATTATTTGTTTATAAATAAACAGTAGCACAGGTGTAGTATTTATATAGTGGATGCATTTCCTTATGTTAAGTTTATGTATTCCTGAAGGCATGTGTTGTTTGCAAAATAGGCCTTGCGTTTGCAAAAACATCAACAAGATACTCATGTAAGTCTTCCTATGTCTTCCTGTTGCAACAGTCTGAATGTACATTGTGCTTCATAAAAGAACTGCTTATCTTCAGCTGTGGTTTCTATTTCTGTAGCATCAGCTGTGGTCCTAGGAGGAAGGCTCAGTTCTGCATTTGAGCAACTTGGTTCCTTGCTGACCAGTGAAGCATATGGAGAGTATCCCCTTTCTGGAATTACGCTCTTTTGATGTAAATTGACGTTTTTGAGAATCAACAGATAAGTCAGCTAGAATCTACAGTTTTAACTGTCATTAAGAAAGGTAGTACTTGTATCAGACTTTTTCTTTCCCTGAATGATTTCAAGAGAAGAACATAAACTTTTCAAAAAATATTTTAAGTATTAAAACAGTGAAAAAACATGTAATTGGCTAAAGAAATGATTCCTAGGATCAGTGGCAGTTTTCTGGTCCTCTCTTCAAATCTGAAAACTTATTCTAAAGAAATGAAGAATGCGTACTATCAAGAATCCTGTAAGAAATATCCTTTTTAAAAGGAAATGTCTTGTTGCCAATGTGAAGGCAGCCATTAGCAACCACTGACTTGTAATGCGTCCACATTAGTGTCCCTCAGAACAGTGCTTTTGATTTTGTTTGAGGTGAGTAGAAGGTGCTTCTTGGCAATTGTAGTTGTGAGATTAATTATTTTCAAAACAATGAAAGTTATTTTGAAAGAACTATTCTTCATTGTTTTCTCTGGTGGAAAAGTTTAACCCTAAATACCCACTAAGTATGTTTACATTATATTTTATGTATAATAAACAAAGACTCTTAACCCAAATTTTCCTTCTGAGATTCAGTAGCTGTATTGATCAGAGAAGGCAGGATGAAAAAATCATGGAGAAAAGGTAAGAATCAGAAGTAACGTTTGCTCCCATTTACAGTGTTAATACAGAAAACTGAAGCAGATGATAAAAATATTTTCAAATCACACATATATTTTTAATTATTCTTATCTCTTCGCCTCTGCTCATGTATTTGTTTC